CACGACTTACAGGTTAAGATCAGAGAAAGAAGGCCAAAGACACTTTCAGAGGCCGTGCAATTTGCCATGGAACTTAAATCTTTGCAAAAGCCCGCAGAAGAGGAAACTGACCCTAATGAGGAAGCAGCTAACCATGAGCTTTCTAAGTATAAATCTGTATTTAACATGCATGGAGATTTTACACTGACCTTTTACAAGGACTCATAACACTTCATTATATTTTTGAATAATTATAAAAAGAGTTAAATTTAGTTTGTAAAATAAAAAAAATAATGGCAATAATGCAAAAATTAAGGGAAGATGTTCAGTTAAATACTGGTTTTGTGAATAAATTGGCCAAAGAAGTAGGACCAGTGATAAATTTAACACAAACCAGAACATAATATCACAAAAGCCCGCTGAAAGTCCCTTACCCACTTTGGGAAATAAGAGGACACTATGTTTAAGGGGCTCTACTGGAAGGTACAAGAATTAGCCACATAGTTTTTGTTTAGTTCTAGGTAGTTAAACAAAAATAATGGGAGTTTGGTTATTGAATATATAATAGAATCTTGCTAAAAGTATAGTCCTGTACTTTTAGCAAGATTCTATTATATACAAATATAATATATAAGACTATATTATATTGTACATAAGTTATTAAACCAGACATTCTAACATTGTTAAAGAGGAGTTCCAAAACTGAATCTCTTAAGTGGTGATTCCCGAAGTGGGGAAAACTGGGTTTCAAAGTTGGACCTCTGGAATTCAACCAAGTCTAGATAGCCAATATGGCAGATGAGTTAATGGGTCTGAGTTTCATTATGGTTAAGAACTGTAATAAATGCCAGGAAAGGTGTGTTACAAATTCAGTCTGTGGAAATTTCCTTTAAAGGTGTGGCCGGGTGAAAAAAAAAAATATTTGTAGACAATTAGTTTGCAGTAAGCAAGTTGTCCTTCATCCAAAAGCAGAAACCTGCTCTGGTAGTTTTCCAGCAGGGGAAAGATGAGGAGTGGTTGAGATCTGCTTTGAGATGCAGGATCTCGGTGGAATTTTAGTTGCTAAATGTCTTATGGATCTGTAACAGAAACAGATTCCTGTTCATTTGCTGAATGTTTCTGACAAACAGCGATAATAAAGAAGGGACCAAGTAGCAAAAATGTTAACCAGTGGATACAATAAATTATGGTACAGATTAAAACTAAGGGAGAAATGAATGAAAGTGAGTTCCCAGAGTTTCTACTGGACTTGTTCCAGCACAGTGCTGTACATTTAAATTAGATGCAAGCGGCCTAAAATGTCTCACAATTCAAAAAGAGATATCGGTTGTGCTGCAATAGTCCTGCACAAGATTGATACAGGGGAAATCAGCCCATTAAACAGCCACCTCACCACTACCAGTTGCCAAGAGGGAAGAGGCTTTATAGGCCATTGAGGAAATGTATTAGGAAGGTGTAACTGAACTCAGCTACAGTTCTAGATAGAAAAAGATTACAGCCTTAGATTCTGTGTGGACTACCGAAAATTAAATTAAGTTATTTTACAGGATTTTCTTATCAAATACAATGGTGAAGGAGGTTCATTCTGATTTTCCACACTGGATCTTAAAAGTAGTTACTGGCAAGTGGTAGTGGATCCAAAAGACAGGAAAAAGACTACTTTCAGAGCAGGACAATGACTGTGGCAATTTAAAGTGATGGTTTTCAACTCATGTACTGTACATCCACATTTGGGAGGCTTAGAGAGCAGATGTATGGCATGCCTCTTTATTATATCGAAGGATATACCTATATTATATCCTACTGAACAATAAAACCTTTAAAACAGATACATTTACAAGTGGTTTGTGATAACCTTAAGATTGCCAATCTGAAATTGAACTGTAAGAAATGTCAGTTGTTCCAAAAAGAAGTAACTTCTCTTGGAATTTCCCAACAAAAAAATTGAGGATGTGCAGAACTTGCAAGCTCCTCAGACACTCCCATACATATAGTTTTGTAGGGCTCTGCTCCTATTATAGAAGACTTATGTGTGGATTTGCCAATATTGCAAAACCATCAAGTGGTCAACAGAGTGTAATTTAGCATTTTTAGAGCTAAAAATACTTCATGCATTAGCCATTTCAAACCCCTTTAATATTCAACAGATATTAGTGTTAATGGGCTGAAGGCAGTATTGATATAAGAATACAAATTGCTTGACTAGGTGTTGGCTTACTACAGCAAAAGTCTTAATTTCTCTTCAAAAATTTCTCTGAAGAGAAATTAAGACACAAGTTGAAAGGAACTCCTTGCAATGATTAAATCTATAGAATATTTTCAGCACTATCTGTGCGGAAAAAAAGTTTGGGGCCAGGACAGATCAGAAATCCCTGCAATTTTTTTTTTATATTCAGGAATAAGGAGGAACAGCTTGTTCAGTGATTGGAAAGACGGCAGTGTTATTATTTCACAGTCATATACAAGAGGGGGCACAAGCATGGTAACCGTGATACCCTGTCCAGATGGCCTTGTTGGGAGGAGAATACCATAAACAAGAGAGCAAGGAATTGGTTGCTCAAGGGAATGACTGTGCTCATAAAGACAGATGAAATTGCTGGTACATTCACTGGAACAATGGAAGTGGGCTGTGAGAATGAACTGTTGAGCAGTTAAAGGCCTCTCAAAGAAAGGATCATAATATGAAAATAGTGAGAAACCGGAAAAATCAAATGGCAAATGTAGACACCCTGGAATCTATTATCTCCTCAGAATACCAAAGTAAAAGCTCTCTGGTCACCATGAGAAAACTTGGAATTTAAAGATTAAATGTTGTACTGGAGATGGGAAAAAACTGTGCATTATGGATGCAGGTATCAACTGATTATATCAGATATCTTGAAAAAGGAGGTACTGAGATTATGGTGTGATTTTAAGATGGCTGAATATTTTGGATTTACAAAAACCTTGGCCAAGCTAAGAGAATTTCTATTGGAATTCAAGGATAATGTATAAATTTGATGCAGGAACCATGGTGTTTGCACTGCGAAAGATTCCCCTTAATACAGGGAGAGCCCAAGTGCAGCAGTATCTCATGGGGGTACTGATGGAGTGCCTTGCTGTTGATGAGGTTGGGCCTTTGCCTGTGACAGAGACCGGTAATCAATATTTGATGGTAACTCTGGACTACTTTACAGAGTGGCGTGAGGTTTACCAATAAGAAACCAAGAGATCATGATGGTTGCAGAGGTTCTGGTAAAATAATTCTTCGCCAGAATTGGTGTCTAGCTGATGCACACAGATCATGGGAGAAACTAACTCTTGAATCTCACCTGCTGAAAGACTCTCAGAACCTACAAAACTTGCACCATCACAACAAATTTGATGGGATGGCGTAAAAGGTTCCATTAGACCTCTGTAAAACAGCACCAAAAGGGACTAGGACCAGCATAGCCCTTTCCTTTTGATAGCTTATAGAATCTCAAAGTATGCTAGCACTCCTCATGTTTTGGTATAAGTTAAGGAACCCAGCAATCTTCTTGTATGGTGTTCCTGAAGAGGAACAAAGAGATTTGAACTATGTAGAAACTCTAAAATCTAATATTGAAAAAGCTCACACCCTTCTTAGGGAAAATCTCAGGAAAGCCTCTGATACAATGAAAAGGCTTTACATCATAGTTAAATGGTGAAACTTTTAAAAAGGGGACCTCGTTTGTTTCCAAAATCCTAGGAGAAGGAAGGGTAAGAGCCCTAAGATGGATGAACCTCAGGAGGGACACTATGCAGTCCTGAGACACATAAATGAAGTTGTGTATAACAGGATACGATAGGGTCCCAGAACAAAATCCAAAGTCATACATAAAGGACTATATGAGACATTATCAGAGGGACAGAATCTCAGCTTGACTACCCTGAGAAACTGAGACTGTAGCTGTGGAAGCTGAGGCTGGAAGAGTTGCAACAATCACAGATTCCCATTAGAACAGAAGCAAAGTGTCTCAGCCAGCAGAATCCTCAGAAACAATGGACTCTCTTCAGGAACCCACTGAAAGTAGCTCCTTCTTGGCTGGCTGAAAGGAAACCAGGTAGGAAAAGGCAACTCCAAGAAGATTTGAATGGAAGTAAAATTGATTTGGATTGGTGATGTGAAAATATCCTCACGGAAAAATACTATATAAATAAGCAAATAGTTAAACTTATATGTATTTTTAAATTTGTTTAAAGTATTTCTTTTCTTTCTATTTGGGATAAGTCATTCGGGGCATCAATGTTTTAAACTGCACTGGGATGATGGTCAAAGCCTCAGCAGGGCTAAACCAAGTTGTCTGAGGGGTTTCTCTGAAATTAGTTGCAAACACAGGAGCTAAGGATTCTTTGGCAAACAGAGTGCATTAGAGGCAGAAAGTGAGAGTAGTCATGATAGTGCTTTGAGAGGGAGCAGAAGGACAGATCTCCTCGAACTCACTGGAAAGGCAGTCTTGGAAATTGAGCAGGGAAATTACCTGCTGTTTGTTTCTAGTGATTAAGGGAAACAAGACTTTGTGTACACTCTTTGTGAATAAACAGGATTGCACCAAAGCAATACCGGACTTGTGCAATCAATTTATCCTAAAGGAAACAACCCATCAAACCCCCAAAGAGGCAACAATAAAAAAATAACAGAGAGGAAAATAAAGATATTTAAAACAAAAAATAAAATCATTTTAAATTAAATTTACAATTTAATTATCTAAATATGGAAATAAAAAGGCAAAAAGCAAAAATGTGCACATTAGCACATAACAAATTTGGCCAAAAATTAGGAAATGTTACCAAAATGATCCTAATATAAACTTTGGTATGTTATGCTCCCTGTATTTTTTCAAAATGTCACCATTTTGCTCTCACTGAAGAATTTAGACTCCCAAAATCTTTGGTAGCACTTGATGAGATTTTCTCTTTAGGCCTATGCAAAAAAACATATATGCCCAACACATTAATCTTTGGATTTTGGAGAAAAGAATTTTATTTAGTGAGCAACCTACTAAAAAAAATTATGAAAATATTCTACTTTTTTCTTAAAACCTTACCAAACAAAAACAAAATACCTTTTGCTCATTCAGCAGGTCTGTAATGGTCTGTGACATTTCATCCAAACTTTGTACTGTTTTTACCAGGTTATGTAGAGCAAGTACATGCTGGTGAAGAGGTTCAAAGTCACAAAGTATGGGAACCCTTCAAAAACAAAGTATTTTTAATTTTTAATTTCTTCAATAATACAGTATTACAAATTCAATTTAAAATTTATAGATACAGTAAACAATCTAATCCTGCTTTATTCATTTTCTTTATTTCACCAACTTTGCAGGGAATAAACTACGGCAACAACTTTGTTACATGTTCTTTACATTAGCAACTCTAAGTAGTTTCAGTGACCGTGTTCTTTCAAATGACAAAAGAAACAATTTAGATTTAAAGTAACATTTCTAAGAAGTTTTAGGTTAACTCCAGGTTATGTTCTACCTCTCCCTCACAACTGATTTCTCAGATGTTTTTAAAAAGAAACAGAGTGGAAAGATTTACTATATATTAAGATACACTATTAAAATTGAAAGAATTTAACACAACATTGCTAACCCATAAACATTTTCCCAAAAAATATTACAATAAGTCTTTGGGAAAAGATATTAATTCTTAACGGCAGAAATCTCAATGCTGTGTATATAAAAAAACCCAGGATGATGAGTTTGTTGTGATCATGATGCAAGTGTCTCATGCCAAGTCTCAATACTCCCCCCCTCCCTTCAAAACTTAAATCCCTTTAAATTACATATGAACAGGAAAAGCAACATTAATACTAATATGATTAAAGTTGAACTATGAATATAACAAAAAAGGATGCGGTTTATATTAAACAATAGATAAGCATTAAGAAAGGTTTGTGTGTGCAAAATATCGTATGTTAAACATTGTCACAGATTTTAGATTCACAATAAATGTAATATTAATTTAACAATTCAACACCTCATTGTCTGGTATTCTTATACAAGTAATTTATTGCAGTAACGAATGGTGATCTCAAAGGAAAAATATTGACAAAAATTTTGATGGGCCCTTGAAGATATTTTAAAGAGAATTCTATGAACAGGTGCCTTGTTATAAAGCATGGAAGCTTTTAAGAATTTCTAACCTACCAACAACAGTGAATGCACTTAAACTGTCCTAACTACTTTAATTAATTTATTCACCCAACCTTGATCAAAACACTGCTTCCAATTTTATGGATGTATTCTCTTCCCACTGAGGGCTGTTCTATACTAGAAAATGAGATTGACACAGCCATGTCGCTCAGGGGTGTAAAAAATCCACACCCCTGAGCAACATATATAAACCAACCTCAGTCTGCAGGCAGACAGAGGTAGATTGACAAAAGAATTTTTCTCTTATCCTAGTTACTGCCTCTCAGGGAGGTGGATTACATATGCCAACAACAGAACCCCTCCTGTTGACATAGGTAGTGTCTACATTCAAGCACTAGAGAAGCACAGCTGCAGCATGGCAGCTCTGCTCATTGTAGCATTTTACGTGTAGACGAGCCCTGGGATACAAACATGTAGAGCCAATTTCTCAGCCGGCCTCCTAAATTTAACCCCTGGACCAGTGGTCCCCAAACTGTGGGGTGAGCCCCCCTGGTGGGGGCACAGAGGAATGTTCGGGGGGGGGTGCAGCAGGGCCTGGGCCAGCCCCCACGGGGGTGGGGGGCAGGGAGGGAGTGCCACCCAGCCCCGCTCTTCCGCAAGCTGCAGCTCTGTTCTGTCCCCAGGCACAGTTCCACCTCCAGCTCTACCTTCAGCCCAACTTTCACTACAGAGCCAACTGTGTAATAATGGGGTGGGGCGCGGGGGCATGGACAGTTTCCATTACTGGTAAGGAGGGGGCCTTAGACTGACTGCCGTAAATGACAATCAGGCCCTGAAGAATGTGGCTGGGGGATCCAATGACCATGTTTAATGCATTTCCTATTGTCCTGCATGGGAGTGAGCGGTTTATTCCTGTCTGACCAAAATCAGTCAGGCAGAAAAGATTTGTGAAGAAGTCATGTAATCCAATGCTGAACAATCCTTGTGATTGTTCCATAAGGGAGCTAGAGTTGTGAGAGAAGAGAGGCCCCACAGGCCTGATTTGTCCTTTTCAACCACAAAAGCCAAATGTTAACTGCAGAGAAAAAAAAGAGCTTTTCCTTTGATCAAGATAAGCCTGTCAAGCAGCTCACTACCACCCCAATTTCAAGCTATTGGCCCAGTGTTTTTATACATTTTGTACACTGTCTACATATTAAAGGGGCTTGTTCTTCGATACAACAGGCATAGAACGCCTGTTAAGATTATGTGAATTAAGGGGAGAAAAATATAAACACAAACCTCTTTAAACAGGACAGTTTCACTTCCATTATACAGAAAACAATGATGAACTGCACTGTACCCTTTTATCTGTCAGGTACTCTTTCACATTTAGGAATAAAGCTGCACCCTACTTAAATGACATCCATCATCTCCTGTCCATCTTCTGGCATAGCCAGACAACGCTACTAAAAAAAGTGTATCTTTGTTTTGCTTTTTCATAATGGAGGTTTTTGTGTGTGTGTTTGTTTTGTGTTCTGTAATTTCCAGTCACTAAGCCACTTACCTGAGTAATGGTTGCACTTCTGAAGGACAAAAAGACTGCAGAAACTGCAAGTCAGTTAATAAGATATCTGGAAGTTCACTGTCAAACCTGCGAGGCTTTCGTGTCTGTATAAAAGAGAAAATTTACACAATGATGAAATGAGGTGTATAGTCAAGATGACAAAGGTAAGATTAAGAAGGAAAACAGTGAACAACATATTAATAGAGAACTGATTTTTTAAAAAATCTGTAGGATCTCAAAAGTTTTGATTCTTCTTATAGAATGCTCTAGTCTCAATTTTTTTTAAGTCTACTTGCACATATATTCATTAACCTTCTCTATGATGTGGTGAGTAGCAGTTCTTCCTTCTTCTTACCAATTTTTTTAGTCATAAACATGATGTGGGGGAAAGAGAAAGGAGAACAGAGGCTTGAAAATTAGTTTGCTGCTAAACAAACAGCTAAATATTAATTTAACTGAGGAGTTACAATAATAAAACAGGGGGCATCCTTTTTGACCATGTATGGTACTATTATAAAATGCCAAGGAGTAAAATACTGAAAAAGCACTTTATGGAACAGAAAGTCAGAAATATAATGACAGGAGCAACATTTCATAATGATCAGAAACATGGAGACATGCCATTGTTAGAGTCAAACAAGTTGAACCAAATCAAAGCAGAAACCTGTCCAACTCACAATCATGCAAGCCAGTTAGCGATAATTTTTAATGAATCCATAAACTCGGGGGTGGTACCGTTTGACTGGAGAATAGCTAATGTGGTTCCTATTTTCAAGAAGGGGAAAAAAAAGTGACCCGGGTAACTACAGGCCTGTTAGTCTAACGTCTGTAATATGCAAGGTCTTGGAAAAAATTTTGAAGGAGAAAGTAGTTAAGGACCTTGAGGTCAATGCCAATTGGGACAAATTACAACACGGTTTTCCGAAAGGTAGATCGTGCCAAACCAACCTGATCTCCTTCTTTGAGAAAGTAACAGATTTCTTAGATAAAGGAAATGCGGTGGATCTAATATACCTCGATTTCAGTAAAGCGTTTGATATGGTACCGCATGAGGAATTATTGGTTAAATTGGAAAAGATGGGGATCGATATGAAAATCCAGAGGTGGATAAGGAACTGGTTAAAGGAGAGACTGCAGCGGGTCGTACTAAAAGGTGAACTGTCAGGCTGGAGGGAGGTTACCAGTGGAGTTCCTCAAGGTTCGGTTTTGGGTCCGATTTTATTTAATCTATTCATTACTGACCTCGGAACCAAATGTAGGAGTGGGCTGATAAAGTTTGCAGATGACACAAAGTTGGGAGGTATTGCTAATTCGGAGAAGGATCGGGATATCCTGCAGGGAGATTTGGATGACCTTGTAAACTGGAGTAATAGTAATAAGATGAAATTTAATAGTGAGAAGTGTAAGGTTATGCATTTAGGGATAACTAACAAGAATTTTAGTTATAAGCTGGGGACGCATTGGTTGGAAGTAACGGAAGAGGAGAAGGACCTCGGAGTCCTGGTTGATCGCAGGATGACTATGAGTCAGCAATGTGACGTGGCCATGAAAACAGCTAATGCGGTCTTGGGATGCATTAGGCGAGGTATTTCTAGTAGGGATAGAGAGGTGCTGATTCCGTTATACAAGGCACTGGTGAGACCTCATTTGGAGTACTGTGTACAGTTCTGGTCTCCTATGTTTAAAAAGGATGAAATCAAACTGGAACGGGTACAGAGAAGGGCCACTAGGATGATCCAAGGAATGGAAAACCTGTCGTATGAAAGGAGACTTGAGGAGCTCGGTTTGTTTACCTTAACCAAAAGAAGGCTGAGGGGGGATGTGATTGCTCTCTTTAAATAGATCAGAGGGATAAATATCAGGGAGGGAGAGGAATTATTTCAGCTCAGTACTAATGTGGACACTAGAACGAATGGATATAAACTGGCCGTCGGGAAGTTTAGACTTGAAATTAGACGAAGGTTTCTAACCATCAGAGGGGTGAAGTTTTGGAACAGCCTTTCCGACGGAAACAGTGGGGGCGAAAGACCTCTCTGGCTTTAAGATCAAGCTTGATAAGTTTATGGAGGGGATGGTTTGATGGGATACAGTGATTTTAGTCAATAGGTCGATAACAATGGTCAATGATGGGATATTAAAAGTTACTACAGAGAACTTTTCCAGAAGGTCTGGCTAGAGAATCTTGCCCGCATGCTTGGGGTTCAGATGATCGCCATATTTGGGGTCGGGAACGTATTTTCCTCCAGGGTAGATTGGCAGAGGCCCTGGAGGTTTTTCGCCTTCCTCCGCAGCATGGGGCAGGGGTCGCTTGCTGGAGGATTCTGAGCGACTTGAAGTCTTTAAATAATGATTTGGGGAGTTCAACAGCTAAGTCAAAGGAGAGAATTCTTCCAGGAGTGGGTGGGTCAGGTTTTGTGGCCCGCATCATGAGGGAGGTCAGACTAGATGATCATAATGGTCCCTTCTGACCTTAGAGTCTATGAGTCTATGTTATATTTGCTAGCCACTTCAGACAATTTAGGATGGTGAATATATTCCATTCCACCATCCAGTGAATGTGTGAAAAATATGGGAACCTTCTGCTTGCTTTTAATCACCTAATAAATTCTATGGCAGTATTATGCCGGTCAGAGTAGATCATACTGATCTCTCCTGGCTTCAAAATCTTAAATCATTTTTCCCCCCTCACTGAAAATATCTGTATTTATAATCCCACAAAATTTTAACTTGACTTTAAAAAGAAGAGTACCAAGTTGACACTTCCCCTAGTATCATATTGCCATCCATGAACAGTTCTGAATCAAAGTGCCATTACACAGCTTATATTCTTAATTTTTTATATCTCTTCATAGCCAAGAGACAGTACAGGTATTCTGAACTCATGTCAGAACTTTGGATCCAGCCCGTGGGATTGCCACCCCCGTGGTACCGCGGGCCCCGCGCCGCTCCCAGAAGCAGCCGGCACCACGTCCCTGCAGCCTCTGAGAGAGGGTGGGCAGAGAGCTCTGCATGCTGCACTTGTCTGTCGGTATCTCCCCCGAAGCTCCCATTGGACGGGAATGGGAAACCACAGCCAATGGGAGCTTCGGGGGAGGTACTGACAGGCAGGTGCAGCGCACAGAGCTCTCTGCCCCCTCTTCCCCAGGGGCTGAAGAGACGTGGTGGAGGCCACTTCCCAGAGCGGTGCAGGGGCCAGGGCAGGCGCCACTGCCACCCCGGAGCCGCTCCAGGTAAGCGGCACCGGGCCGGGGCCTGAACCCCTCCTGCACCCTGCACCCTAACTCCCTGCCCTGAGCCCCCTCCTGCACCCCTCCTGCCCCCCAAGTCCCTCCCTGAGCCCCCGCTGCACCTTGCACCCATCTGCATCCCAACCCCCTGCCCTGAGCCCCCTGCCTGCACTCCAACCCCTTGCCGCACCCCTCCTCCCTGCCCTGAGCCCCCTGCCTGCACCCCAGCCCCTTCTCACTCTCTGCACCCCTCCTGCACCAACCTCCTGCCCTGAGCCCCAACCCTCACTGTGCACCCCCTCGTGCACCCCAACCCTCTTCCCTGAGACTTCTCATACACCCCACACCCTTCCTTTGCCCCAACCCCTTGCCATTAGCCCCTTCCTGCACACCGCACCCCCTCCCACACTCCACACTCCCTCCTGTACCACAACCCCCAGCCCTACATTCATGGCCCTGATAGCATTTCCCCACACAGATGTGGCCCTCGGGCCAAAAAATTTGCCCACCCCTGGTTTAAAACATCTGAAAATTGATTATTTTTTTTTTGCTTAACTTTGCAAATGAGTGTTCCAATCCAGGCAGCCAATTAACTGCTAGACTTGCAAAGTAACTTTGCCTACACTAATGTGTGAATATTCATATATTGATTTTCCTACAGAAACTATGATTATACAAATGCATTTAAAAACCTCAAGTTTCTGACTGTAGTAGAATATATAGCATGGAATACATACACAAAAGGATGGAGGCCAAGAGTCAAGGCCCCTAAACAAACGATTCCTTAAAAAAGACTTCCCTGTACAAAGAAACAAACTTTGGTTATTTAGCAGTAATGCACACAACATTCAAACACACCACAAAGATGGAACACAACAATCTATTGTACATGTAAGTATTGCACTAACTCTGGCAGCTCACTACACATTTGCATTCTTTGACAGATAATGTCAAATTTCCGCAGGATTTCAGACCAAAAAGCATGTCAGAATTCTGTCCCCCATTCAAGCCTTTTTCTTTTTTCATGGTGGCCCTCATACCAAACCAATCATCCTCTTTATAGATCTCCGAATATCTTCTCTCCTCTTCGAAGTTTCCCTCCAAAATCCCTTTTTACTGTTAATCTTTTTTAATCCAACACTATTTACTACTCTTTGTTTGCTTTGAATTTAATAAAGTAGGGCAAAAGAAATCAATAATAAGCTTCACAACGGGCTGGCATTAAAAGGTGCCCTGGGCGAACTTGTATTCTGGCACCCCTGGCCCCCGCTGTCTCCCCCGGCTCCCCACCCATCTCCTGCATTGCCCTTGCTGTCTCCCTGGCTCCCCACTCATTCTCCCAATCTCCCCTGCTGCCTCCCTGGGCTCCCTCCCCCGCATTGTCCCCCGGCCCCTGCTGCCTCCCTGGGCTCCCTCCCCCGCATTGTCCCCTGCTGCCTCCCTGGGATCTCCCCCCACCATCACCCCCAGGCCCTGCTGCCTCCCTGGGTTCCCCCATCCCCATTATCCCTCAGGCCCCTGCTGCCTCCCTGAATTGCCCTCCTGCATCGCTCCCAGGCCCCTGCTGCCTCCCTAGGCATCACTCCCAGGACCCACTGTCTCAGTGCCACAGTTTCTCGAGCTCCCTTCCGCGGCCTTGCACCCCAGGCCTGCCCCACTCCTTGTCTCTTGACCACAGAGCCGCCCCTAACCACGTCACTCTGGGTGGTCGCCCACATTGCCCACCTGTAAGGCCAGCCCAGCTTCACAGAAAAAAATAAGATTAATCAAATTCTTTGTTTTTAACTTTGCCCTGCCTTTCTCTACTTCTTTTGCCTGTTATTTCAAGTGTACGCCCAAATGCTCTTCAAGAAAGGACTTTTTGCTGTTTCTGTAAAGCACAGCACAAGTTCTGCCACTGAACAAATATTAAGCAGCAACATCAAAAAAGTTACTTTAACAAGATTAATATAGAAGTTTGTATAAATCAGTTTAAAATAGCTATTGCATTAAAGAATAAAAAAGTTAAACAACTAAAGTTTTTTAAACAAAGATTTTAAATTAGCTGCGAATTTTTAACAATATTTTGAATTAAATATATGGCAAGGTTTACTAATTTGTTGGCACACTTCTTTGTTGGCACACTTTAGAAACATAACTCAATTTTTAATATATTTTGTATTTGTATATATTTTGTACATATCAAATTTAAAGTTATTTCTATTCACATGAACATCACTTATACTACATATCATCACTCTGGGTACTCCAAACTCTGCTGTTAAGACAGCTCAAGTATACAGTGTTCGTTGTTTGTAAACTACAGAAATGCACTAAAATGGTAGTTGTGATTTAAGTTACAGAAGAGGAAAACACTTACTAAACAATTTCCCAAAAGATTCCCTTTTTGCCTTTTCAGCTTCATATAGATGTTTCCCATCTTTTATTAAAGCAACAGCCCACTACAAAAGGGAAAACACATACAGTTAGCATGGTAAGTCAGTTCCTATGATCACACAAAGGTAAAACCTTGAAATTATTTAACTTGCTTACCTCCCTGTAGTGTTTTATAAACATTTTTCTCCTTACAACCTCAACAACAGCTAAACAGTACATTTGAGGAACGGTACTGAGAGCCTCTACAATCTTGACTCTTTCTAGCAGCTCTGTTACAAGGCGAAACAAGGCTTGCAGTTTCTCTCCATCTTGGTCCGCATGAAGCATCACAAAGCAACACCATCTACAGAGTAAAATATACCAGTAGCTTCAAGATCATCAGACTTTTAAAAGGAAAGCAAGGTTTCAAGGATGTTATACTGATGCACATTTATCACAATTAAGTTCACACCATGGATTATCTCATTTTGCTTTTAAAAAGATAGCAGTTGATCAGTCACCTATTTATTTTGTTTACGTTGCGGACAATATGTCTATTTCCTGAAAAAGACACTAACAATCCTTCCCAAACACTGTTTTTATTCATATTTTTCATGCTGACAATGCCCTGAAGCGTACAGGACAGCTGCAGACTGAGCAAGACACTTTAGTTTCCATTGAGCAAGGCTGAATATGATTACGCTAATCACCATTTAGTTCCGGACAGCATCTGTCTCATACCGCAAATGTTAAACAATGCCTTCATTTAATTAGGCTGTCATTGCATGAAATCTTTATATTAACATGCTGTAAATAAATGACAAATTACTAACTAGTTTAACTTATTCTATCTCATCACAAACTGCGGAAAATTATTCTGTTTAAAACATGTATTCTGAAAGCATTACTCCGCTTTTAAAGCGCCAAAACCTACGTAATTGCTTATCACAGGTCACATGAGACATTTTGTCCATTTACTGCCAATTCCTTGAAACGTTTTCACCAATTTGGATTGTATTAAGTACAAGAAAAATAGTTTTAGCTATTGTACAAAAACCACATACTATGCCATATTACTGTGCCTGACTTACATCACAGACATCATATAATATATGCAATTTCAATCTTCACCACATTTCTTCCCTCCTCCCCCCCCCCAATCTATCTGTATTAATCCAGAAAAAAATTAATCTGGTAAATACTGTATTTAAGATTTATTCATATGACACTTTATATGATAAACTCCAGTGACATAAACCAAAAAAAGCTTTAAAGAAAACTGACATCACTTACTTTAGTCTGACTTGTAGATTATTTGCAAGCTCTTGTTTGGCAGTGGTACATTTCTGCTTAATATCTAACAGTTTTCTGTGATTAGTTAACATAATCATCAGTTGATTTGCATGACTCAAACACAAATCAGGTAGCACAGAAGGATCTTTCAAGTTCTCAGCTCTCTTCTGATTAGCCAAAAATCCCTATAAGAAGAGAAATGCTTGTTAAGCGGATCTGTGTGACAAAATGAAGAACGTTCGCCCGTTAGTTGGTTCTATATCAGTGTCACTGTTTACTTATTTACATAGCACATTACATCTGTAAGGATGTGAAACAGCTTTAACAAACTTACCTGGCCTCACTCTGAGATATGTTGTGATCACTGAACAAGGTGGTATTGTTCCAGGGTTTTATTCCTTAAATAAAATTCTATTAATTACTATCAACAAATAAAGAAAAAAGAACCACTGTATATTTAAATATTATTAACAAAGACCGGTGCTATTTTGTAAATGGGCTAATTTTACATCCCACAGCAAGCAAAGCAGCATACAGGGCAGTTTATTTTGTCCTTAGAACTATAGTAATCTCTATATATAATGAAGTGCAGATGGAATATTCTCACACATCAAGAGGAAAACTGTTCCTTTAGTCCTTTTTAAATCTTAAACTGTTTTGTCAAGTCTTGCAACAAAACTATTTTTATAGGCTAAAATCATTCCAGTTATCTAGTTGCCTTAATCAGGCAACTTTATCTTATCGCCTGCATCCTAACAGAGCATCTTGTGGACCACTTCTCCAACTCTCAATAAAATGGACCACCTCCATACCTATTTGATGTAGTGGCAATATTTTTAAAATATACTGCCAATAATTCACATTTTAAAAATTCAAATAGTAAAAAAAATAATGCTCAGTTTGACAAAAACAGTAAATGAAAAATAAAACAACAGCTAAGCATAGATGGATTTATTTCAATGATTCTGCACAACAGAGTTGGCTTTGATGTTTCTGTAAAAGTACTCTTATATTCTTATTATGTAATGCCCCCTATTGACCATAACTATACATGCAAAGATAATAATTCCAAGCTTTCATAGCTCAAAAATGTTCTTTAAAATTATATTAACCCAGAGAGTAATGTTTACTTTTGTCTTGTGCTTGAATACTTGTATTACCTGATTCCTACATGAAAAATAATTAAAATATTTTCCACCTGGGAATCAAATTCCACCTGGGAATAGCCAAGACAAGTTCCTGTCTAATATTATTTTGACCTCCAACTAACATTTTGGCTTCATTTCATGTATTACTTGTATTTGTTGATAAGGCATCTGGCATGTCATTTACTTCACAAATTATTTTATATATATATATATATATATATATATATATATATATATATATATATATATATATATATATATATATATATATACTATATATACTATATA